TAGACTTTTAAAATTGACAACTAAAAAAAGGGAATTATAATTTGAGAATATTCAAATCAAAGGTACTGTTCGTAACAGCTAATTAGCTATTTTTCTTTTTTTTTTTTTTCTATATTTTAATAATTTTTTGTTTTTAACAACTCGCATTGCCTGCTCGAATTATTCGACTCAAAAAAGACAACCTATTAGAAACATAATAATAATAAGTATTATTTCAGGTCATCGTTTTTACTGGGATTCGTACAGGCCCGTCGTTACACAGTTGAACGTACGTGAAGATACCGATGACAACTGTTTTCTCTCTACACAGAACAAAAAATCAGAAATAGTGGATTTTTAAAATTCACACAATGTAACTTTAATCTGTACTTTTCTATATTGCAAGTGTGGCGTGTATTACTGTCATCGGGCGTATGAACAAATGCAATAACGACGGCTACGTAATGAGGACGTTTGGCAAAGAACAACATAATTATACAGAAATATATGGCGAGCGGAAGCAGTTTGAAATGGAGATGTTGTAACTATAAATAGATTACTGTCTGCTAGCATCTGTCATATTTAACTGAGATGAGCTGAAGTTAATTATAAATACCTTTATCAAATAGTAGAGGCAAATCAAATGCACCCTAATCAGATATATATTTTTTTTTTGTTAAGCGTCCTCGGGCACTAAATCTTATATGCCTACGAGATAAGGGGGTCGCGGTACCTCAATGATGTGGGTGCAAAAAAAAACAGGTGGGCAAGCTCTTTTTCCGTCGTTTTTACAAACTCATTCGCTTTGGGATTTGGTGTTGCTCTTGTGTTTGACACGTAATTTTATCAGATTCTATAAATACGATGTCAACTGAAAAAGGAGAATCGTTTGTAATATGAAGCTTGTTTAGCATCAGACTTTGTTTCATTACGGTATCAACATGTTTGGACGCCCTGAATACATGCATCTACGTTCAAACGTAGAAAACTGACTGGCGCCTCTATTTTGGCCAGTTGATTCAGAAGCCTGATGCTCACACAGCTTCGTAGAACGTAACATTTCGATTGTAGAATCGAACTCAAATTGAGATAAAGAAATTTTTCAAATGTTAAATTAATTACGATTCTTTGTCTAGACTGTGGCTAGTGTCCAATTTATACATGTCTAGTTAGTGAAAAGTGGATGCTACTGAAACGATAATAATACGGTTGAGAAGATTACGCACTATCTGAAATCGTTCACTCGCGTAAATATGGAAGGAAACGAGTTCCTCTCTAGCTCATTTGAGGTTCCTGACGAAGAATCGATTCGCGGAGCTGCCGTGCTCTCGAATGCTATCCTTGAGTCACTGTCGCAATCGGACGCCAATAGTGATACTTTTACAATAGGTATGTAATTATCTCAAGTTAATTATTTCAAATCAAGTTGCTATCGGTACGTACACTTTATTAAAGAACCGGATTTAAAGTAAAGTTCGTCATTAATTATTTGATTGATAAGCAAGAGATTTATTGCCTCTTTTTGATGGATTCATTGATTACTTTGAAGAGTAATTACAATAAAAAAATACTGCGTTATGTGGTTCAGTGGAAGAGCTTGTAGAAATAATTATACCACGTATTAATCGGAATATAACAGAAAGCCAATCGAACAGGGTTATCAGAGAAAATGCTATAACAGGGGAGTTTACTAGTATGTGTGTCTGCTGTATTGAATGGAACCTCTTGAAACAGTCGTGTGACACCACAGACTTTACAACATGGTTCAGGAATAAAGGTACCTGTTCTTGAAGTCTAAGTTCTTCAAGACATCAATAATAGAAATGTCCTTCTTCAAGAAATAATAGAAAGAGATTAAGACGTTTTTCGAAAAATTCGCGTAGCTTGAAAAAAACCAGACAACAATTCTAAAAGACTAAACCCTCCAAGCATAGATTCTATTATATTTTATCTAGCGGAACAACATTCTGTCTTAACACTATTCAGCTTAAACGCAGATAATGAATGCCAACGCGCCATATCGCAAACAGCGGGAAGTTTGAGAAAAGGATTTTTCCAGCCAGGGATTGCTCTATATGGACTTCGTGGGCTGGCATCCCAACTTCGCAAGTGTCACAGCGTCAACACAGCTCTTCGCAAGGGAGTGGATAAGCATATAACCTATGTGCTGCAGCATGGCCTTGTATGTACATATTCTCCATGTATCTCGAAAACGACTTTGGTATATCTCAAACGAAAATTGACTGTAGAATGCCGGAAACATACTCATTCAGCAAAGTCCCACCCAAGAGTCCATGTTTGAGATGCGTACGCACATGTCGTGTAATTGTTTGCTAGAGTTTTGTCTAGCTATAGTAAGTACAGAGAGACATATACGCCATTGTCGTTTAACGTTAGAAATATTAACGCTAATAAATATTAATTAGCTTCACAAAGCTAATTAGTAAAGGGATGTACTTTTAACAAAGGTCCAAGAGTAAACTTCTGTGTCCCCATATGACCCAATGACAGGTTTAATGCAAATCGAATCGGATACGTCTGAATATGTCGCTATAGGCTGTATATAAGTTCAGCTGTCTATCCGAATATCGCATTATTTTGGATGTATTTACTCTCATCATTTTTCAGATTCAAGGAGGCGCTACACCCTATGCCAGAGACACGGCATTACTTAAATGTATGGAACTAATTGCATCTCTATGCGAAGAGTATATTGAGATCGAGTACATAACCTCTCGAGGCCTCTACATTGCGTTGAAGGTCAGCATTCTTATCAGAGGAAAATTATCGTTCAAGATTATTATACGCTTTGTTGAAAATGTATTGAGTCAGTCTCCATGCATCGCTGTACCTGCGATTCACTAATTTTGAGTGAAGATCCACATCGACACTTCAAGGAGTTGGAATAACATCATATTTGAGAAATGACTCGAATTTTCATCGTTTCATTTGTTGCATGCACTTTTAGATGGCCTTATACTTACCAGAATTGACGAAAACCTCTCAGCGTGACCATATCTATCAAGGCACTATATTTATTTGCCAACGTGCTCCAACAATGGCACTGAAACTTTTTGAGCGTATGCGAAATTTGTACCTCCGATTGCTAAAGTAAGTAATACAGGTGAACTATAACATTTGAGTTTTCTTTTACCATGCTAATGCTGCATTTATTTGGTCAAATTTTAACCAAGCAAGCATCGTTCATACCATTCATTGCACCCTTATTTTTTTTCATTCCAGGTTACCAATGGGAAAAATAAAAGACCAAGAATACCATCGGGTCTTGTTTTTATCTCATGTCATACAATTACTGGTAGATGCCGCACCGGACGAAAAAGCCATCCAAATTTACAAGCAGTTCAAGGATGAACTTACAGCGACTCTAAGACAGCTGCAACTGAATGAAATCGTAGTTCGCTACGTGTCCTTCTCTGTCATGGAAGCACTCGACTATAAAATTTCAAAAAAAACTACATCGACTTTAGCACAAAGGAGCGCAATGCAAGATTCTTCTCACAGTCAGCCCCGGAGTTTATCAATAATTACCGGGATTTCTCTTACACCTAACCGTGTTGAATCAAACGACAGCCAGAATGACAACGATGAAAATGAAAGTTTCGTTTACAATTGGCTTTTTAGCAAAAGGCCACGGTAACCTGTACGCCACTGGAGAACTCAAACAACATACGAAAATGCAATGATTGAAGTTTTGGTTCATGCTATTATTAGTAGCGGTCCTACAAGTTCTAGCCAAGTGATGAGTATATATATATATATATATACACTATAAGGTCATTAATTCAACTTGGGTCCTCGTATTTTAAAATGCACCATTAATAGACAATGGTATGTTATCATATATGTCTGAGTAGGACGCTCATTTTTTATTAGGCTGTTAAGCATTGCCAAGCTCTTTTCATGTAAAGTCGTCCTAGGGTTGACTTCTTAATCTGTTGGACCATGTTATTTTTTAAATTTATTTCTAATAATTAAGATCCGGAAGTTCTCATAATATAAATAGAAGTTACATAGGTAAAAAACAAGTCGACTGACGAATACATATCTAAAATTCTAAAAGCGAACATGAAAAGTAAACCTAGTAAACATATACTAATAAAAAAAAATATTCAAAATCTGAAATGATAAAAAGTAAGCAGGGGTTTTGTAGAAGACGATAAACTTTTGTTCAGGTAATAGATGCAAAAATCGATTTTTCCCCCTCGTAACGTAGGGTATGCCCAAATTTTTTCCTGCCAAAACTCGTCCGTCAATAAGTTTGTAGTCTAAATTTATAATAAACTGAAATATTTTTTTGCTATTCGAAAACTAAACAAAAATTTTTCCGCGTTACTATAACGCTTGCACTACAATCTTTAGTAGGGTATGCCTTTACCGATATTTATCAACGCTACACATATTTGATGTAAATTAACTTTTATTAGCATCACTTTATTAATAATTACACTTTATTAATCATATTTGTGTAATCTGCTATACTGCCGCCCGTCTATGGCCGTAGCTACTTTGGTATGTCATTGGCTTTTTGACATACAGATTTTTTATTTCTTGTGTACATCATATATAAATACACCTTGTATAATAGTATATCTTTCGTATAGTGAGACCAAGCACATTGCAGCCATTGAATTATTTTTGGGTCATCACGTTTGAGCCAGCAACGCCTTCCGGTCATTATTTGAGCTTCTTGGCCTGGATAATCACCTTTACTTTTACAATATCATAACATCGACACCTCGGCCTCAATATATACCGATTCTTCCTCTTCACCAACTTCTTCCAATATACAGAGATTGTGTACATGTGAAAATTGAGATTAAACTATTTGCGCACCTCTTGTTTTGCTATTAGGCAGCTCGATTGACCTACTTGCCCCTTATAGTATTATAAGGGTGTATATAATGCCTACGAAAACTGCAAATGCAAACAAACAGTTTTCAAATATAGCTGTCTGTTCTATATTTTTCATTGCTTAAACCTTACAAGAGGCACATTTCTCGTGTGGACGCACCGATCACACACCCACTCCGCTTGGCTTTCTTGCGCTAACATGTGAAAAGCTGCTTCCGTTAGTCCCGTACAAATCCGATGAAACCAAAGTGAGCAGCCTGATTCACATAGGACAGCTTGATCGTTGTCGTGTACCTGTAGCGAGTGAGCAAAGAGAAAAAAAAACTCCTAAAATGTTTTTACGTAATATAATGTTTATTAGTATGGACGTATGTAATAAGTTTGTGTATACTTTTTAAGAAAAAGAGGCAATATTTTTTTCGTCTAAATTTTGTTCTGTATAGCGGAGTGGGCTAAGCGTATATACAAAATTCTTTTGGAATTACCTAGCTTACTCTTGTTGAACAAATAGTCTGGTAAACCTGAAATGGATTTCTCTATTTCAACAGCTGAATTCGTATCTTTGATAAAGGTCACAACGGGTATAATACAAGATACATACTTCTCTGTGGCACATGCCGCAAGGACTGTGGTGTAATGGGCTTCCGTTTCCACCGCCCACCTGTATACCTGAAATCATTAAATAAACATTATAATCCTCATATTTCTAAATTACGAATTTCATGAGACAAACCAACATAAATAACGTTTTTTCTGACCCACTGTTATTTGCCATGACAAGCTTATTTTCTTGTGTTCTAGAAAGAAGAAGTTCTTGTTTTTTTATATACATATATATGTAATACTATAGACTTTTATTAATAGCTGCAATATTTAGCAATAAGTGGTAGAATTATACGAATTGTGTCTCAAATAGAAACAAGAAAGAAGAAAGAACTATGAAGGCAAATTTCTTGATGACGCGCTGCTATATCCTAT